CCCTCATTGTAGCCAGGTCTGGGCACCTCTGCCAAGAGAAAGAGGCTTTTAGGACGAGTACCAGGAATTAATTACATGCCAGTGGGAGATAAAAGCAGTTTAAAAGACTTGCCACCTTTCCTTATTAACACAACCTGAGCAGACAGCAGATAGCTTTTCCTGATAGCTCAGGTCTTTTTTTTTTTTTTTTTCTCAAAGGCAAGAGGCCAAACTTGCTGCTATTGGAAGCTGAGGTGACATAATTTAAATTTATCCAGGATGATAATTTTTCAGATAAGCTTTTTGTCTAGAAACATTAATGTCTGTAAATATACTGTTAATGGTGCAACATGGCCTTGCAATGAGCTGTAAGAGTTATCTCCCAGGAAAAAAAAGTAGTTAGACTTTTAAAATGTATAGGAAACACCATACTTCATAACTTGCTAGAATTATTGGCATCCACCCCAGTGGTTTGCACCTTTTATATAGTCATGCATCATTCCTGTCCATACTTGTATAGTCTTTATATGGTTATTATTTTTAAATCTTGCACAGTGTAACTACACTGAATTGTAACACCTCAGGATTTAACCTTTCACCTCTAAACTAAACTGGGCTACATCTTTCACAAGTGATTTTTTAAAAAATACTTACCACATCACAGTGTGTTTAAGACACCCTTGAAGAGTACTGACTTCTGCCGGGAAAGGTACGCTACTCTGCAAAATCACCCTGGTGAGGGCTTCCTTGAGGTTGCTACTGAGCTGCCAGGGTCTGCAGCCACACCAGCTTACAGAGACCAGCCAGCTTTAGCACATTGATCTCACACTGTCACATATATATAAGCCATTTATGATCATTGTCATCCCTTTTTCTTACATGGGGGGGGAGGCAGATGTAACCCAGTGCACAAAAAAATAACAGTGTTTTTTAACCTTTAGGATGACATTTCTTTCAATTCCCATTTATGTGTTGAAAGGGATTCCTGACTGCCTGGATAACTTCACTTTTTTTTTTTCTGCAGTCAAAAGGATTATTACAAATATTAACATTGCATCACAGAGTTAAAAGGTTAATTGATCACTGTTCAGTACATTCTGAGTCATTTTCTGTTCACTTTTGCCATAATCAGGATATAATTACATTGAGCAAAGTGAATTTTGCCATTTTCTTTCCATCTGAACATTACCAAGCTCAGCAAACTGAAACATTGCCACATTTTTCAGGATGGAGATATTTCTAATAAACTCCTAAAATAAAAGTGACTTCCTTCTTCAGATCTTGCATTTGGCAAATGTGAGATGGTTCGTTTCCTGTGTGTGACAAACTCATACCTCATGTGCCACTAGAGAGAAGACTGAGGGTTGGTATATGTAAATGTGTCAAAGTACAGTTTCTATCCCAGTGACAAGGACTGAGTTGGTTCAGTGGCAGCAAAATGGGTAGTATTTGGGCAGGCCATCCTCAAAGGCTCTTTGCCCTAAAGGCAAGACAGTGTCCAGGCAGCACTAGATCAGAAGTGGTGGAGGAGGTGAGGTTGGAGCACTTGCTGCCATGCCCATTTTGACATTCTTCCCCCATTCTGGTTTTTAGAGGGGGTGACACTGAAGCAATCTCTGTGGAGACAACATGAAAGCTATCTTCCCTGTTTTCTTGCTCCTTGGCCTGGTGACTCAAGTTGCATTGTGAGCTCAGTATCTGCTTCTCATTTCAGAAATGTGAATGAGATTATGATCGTTAGCAATATATTTATCTGTTCACTAAGATCCAACAGATGAATTTTATCTTTTTTGTAACAGCACTGAAAACAAGAAAATGATACTAAGATGCATTCAGATGGATATTTCGAAGTCTGACTTGATTTCGGCAGGCCTTTTATCCCATTAAAATCTGTGTTATTTTTCTTCTGTTGGCTTCAGTGCAATTATATTTGGGCCCATAATACATTAAAGGGAACACATAGTAATATATCTATTTTCATGACTGAGAGAGACCTTACTCTTCTTATTTAGTGTCTTTATAAAACATCAGTCATGTAAATATAAAATATTTCTTGTAATAGGACAATATACAGAAAGGGATAAACCTAAGCAATCATGCAACGAGTGTCATTTATTGTATATTTATTTATTTCTCACAATTTGTGTCTTCCCGTTCTCTCTGTTTTGAATTCACTGGGTTGTTTTCCAAGCAGCTTCAAACAGAAGTCATATGGTTTTCAAATGCACTTGCCATAGGAATGATAACACTTTTACACACATAGCTGAGAAATTTTTGTGCCAGAGTTAAACCACTTGTTGCAATGCTCACTTCTAGTGGTGGTAAGTCAGCTTTCTTATGCTGAGGGATCGCAACAGCTTCAAAAGTCAACACCCTGCAGGTTTGAAGCCCTGAGCTTTGGAGAGAGACCAGAAGGTTCTTCAAGCCTTGAGAAAGCTTCTGATCTTATACCACCATATCTTCAAACAGTGATGTTTTAGGCTACAGAAAAGGGCTATTTTATCTTATGGTGCTTTTTTTTTTTCCCTTCAGGAATTAATATAGCAAAATAGTGTATTCTTGCTCTGCAAAAGCCTTGACAAAAGATGTAGAGATAATAAAATATTTTTACTCTGTTCTTTCTGCTTTCCTGGAGAGTTTGCCCACTGCAGATATGCTGTATGCCAGACATTTGCTGGAACAGTCTGAAGGTTTGCTCTCACTTTTGTGAAAAAATTGTTTAACTTAGTTGCAGTTTCTTCCCCCATGATTAATGCACTCATCTCAAGTGAGGTGCTGAGGCCACTAATCATCCCTGAAGCACAGACCAAGAGACACAGGTCGGGAGACAGCTGACTGGTCATATAATGATGATAAAAGTATTGTCTCCTTGTTTTCCTTGGCTAAGGAGTCAGCCAAGTACATGCAGAAACTTTCACAGGTAAGTAGATGCTGTTGTGCTCCTAAGCATACTATGGGGTTGAAGGTTCCATGAAAATCTCTCTGAGATGCTGCTGTGTTGTTCTCTGTACTGCAATTGTCTAACATGAATCCTCTTTGCACGTGTGATAATTCACAGCAGCGGTGTAATGCAGGCCCACTGTTCTGCATCTAAGGGGGCAGATTTAGTGATCTAGACCAGGTTGCTGGTGTCATTTGAGATACTGGCTCATATCCAAAACCTCTGCATAGGCTGGCAAGCATGACACAGGACCTAGAGGAAACCCAGCAACTTCCAGGAGCAGCAGCCAAGGGTGTTATGCTCCAATGTCTCAAGTGTAACTAGACAGCTGTACTTAGGCAACTGAGTTGAGTGAGCCTGGATGCTCCAAGTCACATGTGTCTATCTCAAGCTCGCCATGGGGGAGGGGCCATCAGTTATGTCGCCAAGACTTTGACCACTTACCAGCACAGCTCTAAATTCAGAAATTTAGCAATGATCAGTAGCACTTCCTTATCTCTGATGCATAGGAACATTAACATTGAAAACACACTTTTTCTCTGTTTCCGTAGAGGCAATGATGCTGGTCTCCCAATGGCCTTGCTAGGAAAGTTCTCTTTGCCTTTATTGAATCCAAGGAGTAATGAAATTCAGGGCCATTCTCCTGCAGGGACCATGTACTGTAAGAAAATAAGTGTTACTTTAATGTTTCATGAAGCATGAGCTGAGCACTGAGCTCCGTGAGAATATAACACTCAAGTGTTTCTAACTCTCTTTAATGTTTAACAGGTTGATAGAGCTCCTTCCTTTTGTTACCATAAATTACTACTGGGGAGTTATGAGCAAGTGCCTCACCTACAGTAAGGCTGCATCAGATCCATTTGTTTACTCACTTTTACGTCAACAGTACAAAAAAGTTCTGATCAACATCGTCAATCGGATCCTGAAGAGGGACTTGTATCCGTCATCAGGGTACAACAGCTCTCTTGATACCGAAAACGATTACTGTTTGCACAGAACAAACTAGCAACATGAAAAGCATTCCCTTTCGTGTGAGACAGGTGTTTGCTGCTGCTGGAAATCTGCCTTTTCCTTCTCACGCTGACAATGGTGACAGCGTCTCCAGGGTGTGAAAGCTCATTAATGTGATGCACTTCATTGTGGACCTCCATGGAAAGCTCTTCTCTGGTCTGCAGCCAAGTACGATACGTGGCAAAGCCTTGTCCCCTAGAGAGTGGAGGAGGCTTGAGGGCTTTTATGTGAGACCTTGGAGGCTTTAGAGAAGCTTAGAGAGCTTTTAACACTTCATCTCTGAAGACTTGGTGTGTCCTGGAGAGTTCCACATCAGACGTGATACTCCCGTATCTTCTGGGACCACAGAATCCCCAGGCTGGAAGGAGAGGTTCAGAGCCCTCCGTGCTGTGCATGTAATTTGGCAGCCCAGGATCTGCTTTGTTAGTTTTGAACATTACAAATAAGTCTTTTAATTGATTGATTTATTGTATTGGTGCCTCAAGTGAGTCAGCACTTTGAATCTGAGATTGTCGTTATTAATATTTATTACTAGGCATCATGATTGTAACATAGCCTTTAGAAAGCGGTACATATATTTGATATGCCAATATTCTACCAAGCATAACCAAAGTCCACATATCTGAGTTACTGATATTTAGCACTTCAGTGGTATGTGATTACAATAATTGCAGCAACAGTAATGAAGACATATATGGAATTTAGTTAAATAGCACTGTAGTTCCACCACTGAGCTAGTAGTCCTATTCAAACAAGATTCTATTCAGAAAAAAAAAAAATCAGTTAGACAGTAGAAGTGACAGATACCACAGTGTTTAAGATATATTACTTCAGAATCTATCTGTTTTCAAAGAACAGGCTAAAATATATTAATTTTTTAAGGGATATATAATGTGTAAAATATTTCATGCATCGGCTATATTTGGTGGATTGTAACAATATTGCACAATCTTTTCTTTCATAATAATTAATTAATCTGGTGATTTTAACAGATACCAAGAGCAGTGCGAGAGATATTATAACAGAGTTACTGCCAAATGCCCAGAAAGACAGAACTGTGTTATTATTATATGTATTTTTCTCTTATTTATTTTTAAATCTAAACACGCTTTGGAAAAATGTGGGTATTATTTTTAAACAATATTCCTTTGATTATACAGGACATGAATCAAAATATTCTATGGCATTCAACAAGCTACTATTTTCTAAACAATTACATAACGGGAAAATTAAAGCAATTCTAAAGTATATTTTAGGGAGAAAAAATCACATGCAGAATCACAGAATGTTAGGGGTTGGAAGGGACCTCAAAAGATCATCTAGTCCAGCCCCCCTGCCAGAGCAGGATCACCTACAGGAGGTCACACAGGAATGCATCCAGGCAGGTTTTGAATGTCTGCAAAGGAGAGTCCACAACCTCCCTGGGCAGCCTGTGCCAGGGCTCTGTCACCCTCATAGTGAAAAAGCTTCTTCTAATATTTTTGCGGAACCTCCTACGTTCCAGCTTGAACCCATTGTCCCTTGTCCTGTCATTGGAAAAAAAGAAATAAATCAGTAAAGAACAATTATTTTTTATGTAACAATGGACTTGGCCCTATTATGCATTGAGAAGGCTATTCCTAGTCAAACAAAGCATATGAACATGTGATTGGACACAAATATAATTTCCTTTGAAGTTAACAACTCTATTTCATGCTGAAAATTAAGTACATGCTTAACCGTTTTGTAAAATCAGTGTCAAGTAGTCAGCACATCAAGAGAGTTTTTTCCACCATCCACAATGAGGAAAGAGAGCGTCTTACTGCAATCCCATTGAAGTCAAGGAGAAGTGATGCTGCGTAACAAATATAATGTTCTCTTATTTCCTGCTTTTAATCTTTGAGGCCTTTCTGATGCTTTTTATTTTTCCCCATGCAAGTACCTTAGGCCTGTATTTTGCATCTATAGTTCTGCCTGTGTTGAAATTGAATGTACTACAATGGTTTTGTCTTCTTAGTAAAGTATTTGTACTCTCTTCAATTTTGTGTAAATACAGTATTTCAGAAAAAAAAAAGTTGTCTGGGGAATCTTTCTAGTTTTATTATCTTCCTGCCTGCCTCCTGCCTCCCCCTCTGCTGTGCCACTCAGATATCTGATGCTTCAGTCTTTCATTTCAGCTGCAAAATAAGGACCAGATATCTCTGTTTAGGGTGGGAGGGATTCTAAATTTTCAGTTATTTTTCAGTCAGTTTTGTGCCAAAATGTTTTGATAGACTACAGGATTTATCTGTGAGTAAACATGAGTTTAATAATAACTACAATGCATAGAATCATAGAATCATAGAATCATAGAATCATAGAACACTTTAGGTTGGAAGACACCTTCAAGATCGAGTCCAACCTTTGTCCCAGCCCTATTAAAACCACTAAGCCATGTCCCTCAGCACAACATCCACCCAGTTCTCAAACATCTCTAGGGACGGTGATTCAACCACCTCCCTAGGCAGCCTGTTTCAATGCCTGAAAACCCTTTCAGTAAAGAAATTCTTCCTAATATCCAACCTGAACCTCCCCTGGAGCACTGAAGGCCATTTCCCCTTGTCCTGTCACTCACCACTAGGAAGAATAGACCAACAGCCTCCTTGCTACAACCTCCTTTCTAGTAGTTGTAGAGAGTGATAAGGTCTCCCCTCAGTGTCCTCCAGGCTAAACAGCCCCAGATCCCTCAGCTGTTCATCATAGTACACATGCTCCAAATCCTCTACTAGCTCAGTAGCCCACCTCTGTACCCTCTGCAGCACCTCAGTGTCCCTCTCGTAGTGAGGGGCCCAAAGCTGGACACAGTACTCAAGGTGCGGCCTCACCAAAGCTGAGTGCATGATCACCTCCCTGCTCCTGCTGACACCATTCCTGACACAGGCCAGGATGCCGTTGGCCCTCTTGGCCACCTGGGCACACTTCTGGCTCATGTCCAGCCGGCCGTCCATCAACACCTCCAGATCTCTCTCTGCCTGGCAGCTCTCCAGCCACTCCTCCCCAAGCCTGTAGCGCTGTTGGGGGTTGTTCTGGCCTAAGTGCAGGACCCAGCATTTGGTCTTATTGAAACTCATGTGACTGGCCTTCGCCCAGCGATCCAGGCTGTCTAGATCCCTCTGCAGAGCCTCCCTAACCTCAAGCAGATTGACACTTCCACCCAGCTTGGTGTCATCTACAAACTTACTAAACATGCACTCTATCCTTTCATTCAAATCATTGATGAAAATGTTAAACGGGACTGGGCCCAGTATTGAGCCTTGGAGGACACCACTCGTGACCAGCTGAATTTAACTTCAATGATCACAACTCTCTGGACTCGGTCATCTAACCAGATTTGCACCCAGTGAAGCGTATGCCCATCCAAGCCAAGAGCAGTCAATTTCTCTAGGACAATTCTGTGGGCAATGATGTCAAATGCCTTGCTAAAGTCAAGGTAGACAACATCCACAGCCTTTCCTTCATTGAGCAAGTAGGTCACCAAGTCATAGAAGGAGATCGGGTTTGTTGAACAGGACCTGCCCTTCATAAACCCATGCTGATCACCTGGTTGTCTTGTATGTGCTGCATAATGGAACTCAGGATGATCTGCTCCATCAGCTTCCCTGGCACTGAAGTCAAACTGACAGGCCTGTAATTTCACTGATCATCCTTCCATCCCTTCTTATAGATGGGTGTTATATTTGCTGACTTCCAATCAGCTGGGACCTCTCCAGTCAACCAGGACTACTAATAAGTGAGGGACAGTAGCTTGATGAGGAACCTTGACATTTCTCTCAGTGCTCTAGGATGAATCCCATCCAGCCCCATAGATTTGTGCACATCGATGTTGAGCAGCAGGTCACTGACCATCTCCTCCTGGATTGTGGGCGTACATTTTGCTCCTGGCCCCTGTCTCTTGGCTCGGGGGAATTGTTAGCTTACCTTTGGTTTCTAAACAAAATAGTGCTCACTTTAAGAAAAGAATATGTTACCTATATTTAAGTGTATTAAATGTCACCTCCAATGCCTGCAAATGAAATAAAGCTTTGTTTTGATTTTTTTCTATCTCAGTACCAAGAACATAGTAGAGGAGAAAAAGATAGTAATAAGCTCTGAAGCTATTACAATGATAAACTTCTAAAGAAACCTATTAAGCTCTAAGACACATTTTAAAGGCATAAACCAGAACATAGTTAAACTGCTACATCTGCTATTAAGTTAATTAACAAAGCTTATTCATACCCGTTGAAGGTGTTGCCCTGCATACATTTTACAATATCACTCAAACTTACAAAACAAACATTTCTGGAGGTGCTCAGGTCTAGATGTAAAAAAAAAAAAAAAAGAAAGAAAAAGAAAAAGATTCTGAGTCTGCACTGAGTGTGGCAGAACATCTTTTAGATTTAATTTCCACAGAGAATTAGGAAGCTACAGTCTACAATATGCTGTAGGCCAGAAACTAAGGAAAGGCAAAGAGACCTTAGTCCTCTCAGTTTTTATTTGCAATAAAGACTAACTTCCTTGTTTAGCATGACCAAAAGGCATATTTCTCTGCTCAGTATGCACAGCCAGTTCTGTAGGTAAATTTTTCTTTCTCCCTTCTCACCACCCCCTCTCCACTCTCCACCAGAGAAGGGCTTGCTCTACTGTTCTAACTGAGCAGGAAGCATTCAGTGAGAGGTCTCAGGTTCATTTCCCCAGCTTCTTGTTGTAAACAAAACTCTTGCTAAGTTGGTGCTTCATTCACCACACTCTGGGTTATTCTGGGATAGGAGGACGTAGGGGAAATTGATACTTTACCCCCATTTATGGGGATGCTGCAAAATGCATCAAAGAATTTAATGCTGCGATGGAAGTCAGAACGTATATCATGTAATGACAGCATTCATCAGATGAGGCAAGGTCATGCATTCCCTCTTACTGACATTTTAGATAAAACAAACATTGAATGCACAGTCCTGACAGCAGGGTTTGGTTTGGATCAGATTTCCAAAGCCAAAG